TAAAGAGACTTGGAACTCGACTTGGACTTTAACATCAATGACTCGTGACTTCACTTGGACTCGAGCCCTTTGACTCGACAAGACTTGATACTTTCTCCAAAACCCAAAGATTATAAAGTAAGTTATTGAGGAGCGCTGTGTATCTCTCATTGTGCACGTATGTGCTGTCGGGACAACATCCAATCAAATAAAACGCTGGCCAATCAAATTGCGGGACAACCAATGAGAAAGAGCTGTCGAGCAATGCGCGGGTTAGAGAAAATGATACCAAAGATCGTGTTGTTCGGATTTAAAAACTACGAGATGGTCAACAAAAACGAGTGGCAGTGAGTGGAAGGACTCTAAAGGACTCGAAACAGAAATGGCAGGACTTGGGACTTGACACTTTTCAGTCTTGACTTGGATTCGACTCGGACTTTGCCTATTTGGACTTGAGACTTGATTCGGACTTGAGTGCAAAGACTTGAGACTTGCCTGTGACTTGCAAAGCAATGACTTGGTCCCACCTCTGCTCGTTACTCCCTGTACACTGTACGGAAAAAGACACCCGACGAAACGTGAAATCGGGCCGAGCGTCGCCAGGTCTTGCGTCTCAAAAATCGGGTCAAAAACGGGCTAAAATCGTACAGCGTATGCTCGCCCTTAGTAAAAGGCACATGGCAGCCCACCTGGAGTTTGCCAAAAGGCACCTGAAGGACTCTCACACCATGAGAAACAAAGTTCTCTGTTCCGATGAGACAAAAAAAACGAAACTCTTTGGCGTGAATGCCAGGCGTTACGTTTGGAGAAACAGCAGACATCCTGGATGAAAACCTGCTCCAGAGTGCTCTTGACCTCAGACTGGGGCGACGGCGGATGTGTCGTCTTTCATCAGGTCAAGGACCCCACGCACGGAGCCAAGATATCGAAGGAGTGGCTTCAGAACAACTCGGTGGATGTCCACGAGTGGGCCAGCCAGAGCCCAGACCTGAGGTTGTAATTGCTGTCAAAGGTGGCATCAACAAAGTATGGAGCAAAGGCTGTGAATACTTATGTACGTGTGATTTCTCAGGTGTTTTATTTTTAATAAATTTGCAACAGTTTCCAAAAAAAAGCTCATGGCATTAATATATATGTGTATATATATGTATATACATATACATGTATATACATATATACGTATATACATATATATATATATACGTATATATGTATATACGTATATATGTATATACGTATATATGTATATACGTATATATGCATATACATATATATGTATATGCATATATACGTATATACATATATATACATACATATATATGTATATGCATATATACGTATATACATATATATATATATACGTATATATGTATATACATGTATATGTATATACATATACACACATATGCATCAACAAAGTATGGAGCAAAGGCTGTGAATACTTATGTACGTGTGATTTCTCAGGTGTCTTATTTTTAATAAATTTGCAACAGTTTCCAAAAAAAAGCTCATGGCATTAATATATATGTGTATATATATGTATATACGTATATATGTATATACGTATATATGCATATACATATATATGTATGTATATATATGTATATACATATATATGGGTAGATATACAGTACTTACTGTTTTGTATAAATTCTGTACATAAGCTGTTTTTGTTTTTTTAGTGAATACATATTATTGCCAAGCATACTATGTATTTATATTTACCACTGTATCCCTTCAAAACATAGAACAATATCTGTGGATTCGTATACACACATGCTGACTATACCAGGCAATCTACGGCCCGAGGGCTGGATGTGGCCCGTTTGGCTTTTAAATCCGGCCCGCCAAACTTGTCCAAATAATTTTATTAACGTCAAGTATCATTACACTATGTCTCCGTGTCCAGAGCGGAAGAATTGGTGCCGAAGAATCGATCAACGACACGGAAGGAAAAGGCGCGGAAGAGCTGGAGGAGAGGCTGAAAGAAAAAGAGGCCAAGACTCAGGCCATCCTGTTGGAGATGGTAAGGAGGAGAAATCACTTCGTAATTTCTTACTGCATTTGACTCTTTCCTCTTTTAATCATGCTGTCCCACAATTTGTTCAGGTGGGTGACCTTCCCGACGCAGAAGTGAAGCCTCCAGAGAACGTATTGTTTGTGTGCAAACTCAACCCAGTCACCACAGACGAGGATCTGGAGATCATATTCTCTCGCTTTGGGGCCATAAAAAGGTGACTATAAATAATGTAAACTTTATGTAAAAAAAAAAACCTTAAGGCTTAATTTGTACACAATATTCTGCCTTTGCTAAATACATTATTATTAATACTTTTTTTTTTTTTTTTTTTTTTGAAGCTGTGAAATAATCAGAGACTGGAAAACTGGAAACTCCCTCTGCTACGCCTTTATTGAGTTTGAAAAGGTAAGATAAATCATTTGTTTTAGGCCAGGCCAAAATTGTCCTTAAATTAAATGGGGGGTGAGGGAGGTCGGGTCAGGAGTAGATGGACGGAGCGCTCGTGTGAACTAAGATAAATGACATGTAAAAGTCATGCATAAAGGCTAAGATGCTAAACATTTTTTGAGCCTTTTCTACGCCATCTATAGGGGAAATGTGTGCATTGCAGGAAAAAAGGCAGAAGTATAATCACAATACAAACCAATTATAGAATTGGTAACTCGAGGTGCTCGTATCTCAAATCATTTTTTTTTCCATAAGACATAAGAGAAATTTTTTTTTTTTTTTTTTTTTTTTACTTTTTTCTATTTGTGGTCCTTCTTTAGCGGGCGCCACGCTCATATCAATCAACAAGTTCCTGCTTTATTTCCATGGTCATCCTGCAGTTCTTCTTCTCACTACCATCCTTACCACTTAGTCTCTTCTTAAGATTCATCACTATTATGAAGAATAACGCACGAAATAGAGAGGAAATCACGTAGATAACGCAAACACAACACGGAAGAACCGCAGGAGATGCGTACGGAAATCGATGAACTAGTGAAGTGAACGAGTGAGGCGGCGGTTTGCAAAGACTTTTTGTCACTGTCCTGAACTTTTCTAGGCCGAATTTTAGCCACTCTTTTATTCATTCTTTTAGCAATATTTAAAAGCTCCCAGAACTGTAGAAACAATAGAAAAAACTGCTTAAAACCACCTCTAGTGCTCCAGGCCTTGCCTCTCTTCCGTCCAGTTATCTCGCCAAGATTCTGACCTCTACACTTCTGCTTTTCCGGTTATCAACCTTGTATTCCATCATTTGCCAACTGAGCATGTGACTTCTCTCCTTGTTTGTTTGTCTTTGAGCCAAAATATATAATGAAATAAGTATAACAATACCTTGAGATACGAGCGTCCCGACATACAAGTATCCCCAGATGCGAGCAAGCCTTCAAGCTAATTTTTGAGTAAAAGATTTGAGAGCATGCTTCGTGACGCCGACGCTAGGTGGTAAGCACTCGGAGCAGCCCACGCCGCCTCACTCGTTCACTTCACTTGTTCGTCGACTTGCGTACGCATCTCCCGCGGTTCTTCCGTATTGTGTTTGCGTTATTGTGCATTATTCTTCATGATAGTGATGAATCTTAAGAGAGTGAGTGGTAAGGATGGTGGTGAGAAGAAGAAACGCACGATGACCATGGAAATAAAACAGGTAATTGTCGATAAATATGAGCGTGGTGCAAATCGAGAAAAGCAAAAACAAAACAAAAAAATACGTAAGCTAGGTTTAGTTAATTCTAAGTTTATGTAAGTTACGTAGTGTACGTGTAAGGTACGGTATAGAATCGAGTGTCTACGTACGGGCCAACTCTCTTCCCTCCCTCCTCCTTCTCCGCACATGCCGCCATTAGCCGCTACTGTATCGTCTGTCTCGAAGCTAAGAACTCATAATTCAAAATCTTTATATACTATAATTTTTTGAGTAAGTTTTTGAGTATGTAAAAACTATGTAAAAAGTATGTTATTAGCACTAATAAGAGAGTTTTTTAGAGCTGGAACTGAGTAATTTTTTATTTTTATTTTTTTATCTTGTGGGAAAAAATGATTTGAGATACGAACACCTTGAGTTAGGAGCTCGGCCCTGGAACGGATTATGCTCGTATCTCAAGATATTACCGTACTTGCATCCAATTGTCATTTTTGCGATGAGTGTGTTGTCTCACATAAAGTTTCTTTTTCTTTTAAAAACCACTTCCTATTACGTTCTCTCTGCAGGAAGAGGACTGTGAAAAGGCGTATTTCAAAATGGACAATGTGTTGATCGACGACCGACGCATTCACGTGGACTTTAGCCAGTCGGTGGCCAAAATCAGATGGAAAGGGAAAGGTACGTCGAGTCGTAAACTCAGAAACGCTTCTCGTGTATCTCCTTAGAAGATTTGATCATTTAGGAGTTTTATTAGAATGTACGTTGAATAGTTTCAAATCTGCTAATATTTGTGGTGTTTTTCTAGGGATATTAAAAGAGCAATATAGATTTTTTTAAAAAAACTTTAGTATGAAAAGATGAAAATAATAAATGACATTGACCCCTAGGTGGAAAATATACCAAAGATGACTTCAAAGCCTACGAGAAGGATTTAGAGAACCGGTGCAAGCTGGCCATCAAAGATCAAGTGAAGCATAAACAAGAGTATCCTTATGCGTCCAGGTCATTGTTGGGGAAAATAGGCCAAGGGTGTGGGCTGGTGTTAACGTAATCATTGAGGATATTTAATTCCTTAATTTTTCGAAGTTACAAGTATGACCTGCTTATTGAGGAGGAGGAGGACGAGGAAGAGGAGTCCAGCCAGAGTTTTTTAAAGAAAAAGAACAAGAAAAAGAGTCGCCGTCGCTCCAGTGATCGCGACAGTGAACAGTCCAAAAAATCCAAGGTATCTTGTCCATTTGTTTTTCTTCTGTTATCTAAAGATTTGAATGTGTGCTTTTTGTGTACATCCTGTCGTCGTCATCGTCTTAAAAAAAAAAAAAAAGCTCAAAAGTTTGGGTAGAACAGGTGCTGACAAACAAAATATACAGTGAAATACCAGAAACCTCCCAGCAGTTACCTCAAATTCCGGACTATTGAGCGCACGTGAATATAAGCTGCACCCACTAAATTTAAAAAGATTTTTTTTTTTTTTTACATATATGGGCCGCACTTCTCTATAAGCCGCAGGTGTCCACGTTGTAACATAGGATATATTCACACAAATATATATATTTTTTTTTTTCAGTTTTAATTTAATAAATGCTTTTTTATCCAAACAGTGCCTATTTATCTTTATTTTTTGGCAAGTTACAGATGTGTTCACTTGCTCCAGACGGCCTAGCCATTTTGAGTTAGCATCTCTAAAGAATGCAGGCTTGAAGTAAAGAGCTACGCACTAGCACAAAGCTAATATATATCCTACCTGTTGTGAGCTGGAACATCACGAAGAACCTTTTAAGATGCTGCATCTAGCAACAGTCTGAAACGCTGCTAACATGCTAGGTGCTTCGCACATGTAACGATGAGGTACATCAACAAAGGTGTGATGATGTTAAATATTTAAACGTGCGTGTCATTGCTAATATTGTTTTTTTTTTTTTTATCCAGGACGTTAACCAGAGCCAGCACAGCCGGACAACGAACCCTTCTAAACACAGGGAGCACAAAGCTAGCAAGCACTACGACAAACACAAGACGGAGAGATGCGATGAAGGCAGCGTCCACCGCCGCAGGGACAGGAGTCGCAGCCCTCACTGGAAAGGGTCAAAAGACAAAGAGAAGAGTAGACACAGATAAGACGTCAAATATACAATATTTTCAAACGGATAACAAAAGCCACCGGGCCGTGTTTGCGATAAATCGGGGATTGTGTGAATTAGCCCTTTGTTACACATTCACTGATGCAAATCATGCTTTTAAATGTGTTCCTAAAAGGAAGGCGTCGAAAGATTAGGTGACCAAAATCATCACATCAAACATGTACTGAGGTACTAAGATAGATTAGTATGAAGATTACCACATGTACATGTGACCACAGTCTGTTAATATTGTTTTTCTTTTGTCATTTTTTTTGTTTTTTTAAGTTTTGGATTGCATTTTCCGCATATAAGAATTTGTGGAAAATGCTACAGAACTTATTCTGCATTACTTTTGCAAATAAAAAAAATTAAATATGAAATGACAAAGTGCTCATCTTTAATAATACCAGTCTAAAACTGTAACCCACCTTTGACTTTTATATATGTGTATATGTATATATGTATATGTGTATATATATATGTATCTGTATATATGTATATATATACATACACGCATACATATGCATACATATATACATACTGTACTTATATACACATACATACACATGTGTATAGGTGTGGATATATATACATACATATATGCACACATACATATGCATACATATATATATATACATACTGTACTTATATCCACATATACATACACATGTGTATAGGTGTGGATATATATACATACATATACATATATACACTTATATACACACAAACATACACGTGTGTATATACTGTATATACATACATTCATGTATATATACACACATATATACACTTATATACACACAAACATACACGTGTGTATATATATATACATACATTCATGTATATATACGCATGTATATACATATACACACATATATGTATGTATATGTGTGTGTGTGTGTATATATATATATATATATGAATATATTTATGTATGTATTATGTATATATATATATAAGAAAGAACACAGCATTCCAAGAAAAGCACTTGCTACCCACAGTAAAATTTGGTGGAGGATCATGCTGTGGGGCTGTGGGGTCAGTCCTGGTACTTGGGAATCTTGTTAAAGTTGAGGGTCGCATGGATTCCACTCAATATCAGCAGGTTCTTGAAAATAATGTCCAACAATCCAGTCACGAAGTTGAAGTTACGCTCAAAATCTACTCTGGCATTCATGCAAAGGAGCAACCAGTCCCCAGACCTGAATATCATTAAAAATCTGTGGTCTGTTTTAAAGCGGGCTGTCCGTGCTCGGCAACCATCAAACTTAACTGAACTGGAGATGTTTTGTAAGGAGGAATGGTCCAAAATACCTCCACCCAGAATCCAGAAACTCATTGGACGTTATAGAAAACGTTTAGAAGCTGTTATTTTGGTAAAAGGAGGATCTACTAAATATTTCTGTTGGGGTGGCCACATTTTTGCACCTGTGTAATTTTGTTTTGATGCATAATGCACATCTTCTGTTAGTCCAATAAACCTAGTTTGACTTCTGAAATATTAGTGTCCATCAGTTTTTTGGATAAATCAGAATGAAGTTGCTGATCCAAACACCATGATTTTTAAATGAAAATAATGGAAATTTGTCAGGGGTGCACAAACCCCAAACTTTTTCATACCACTGTATATATATGTTTGTGTATATATATGTATATATATATATATATATATATATGTATATGTATATATATACATATACATATATATATATATATATATATATATATATTACAGGGGATTGACAATGTTTGAGGTTTCATGGCTAAATTCGACCAGCCTAGTGGCCAATCTTCATTGATTGCACATTGCACCAGTAAGAGCAGAGTGTGAAGGTTCAATTAGCAGAGCAATAGCACAGTTTTGCTCAAATATTGCAATGCACACAACATAATGGGTGACATACTAGAGTTCAAAAGAGGCGTGTCTTGCCTCGCACCAGCAAGACGACCAGCGATGACTTGCTGACGTCACAAAGACTTGCTATCTTTGTATACCTGTGGACACAAGAGGAAGCTGTCTGAAAGGGATGTCCAGGTGCTAACCTGAATTGTATCTATAAAACATTGAAAAAAAAAAAAACAGCTGCCCAACTCACTGCAGAATTAAATGTGCACCTTAACTCTCCTGTTTCTACCAAAAGTGTCCGTCAGGAGCTCTACAGGGTCAATATACAGTGCTGGGCTGCTATAGCCAAACCTTTGGTCACCAGGAGTTTCAGTTTCATTGTCCAACCCCTGTATATGTATATATATATATATATACACATATATACACATATATACATATAGATACATATATTAAACACAAATTTGTATATACAGTATATATGCAGATATATGTACATATATATATACACACACACACACACACATATATGCATATATACATATATATACTGTATATACAAATTCGTGTTTAATAGTAGTGTCCCAAGACGACCTCCTGTGGTCAGCCAACTTAGTACCTGCAGTTTCCTGATGGTATATTCGGTATAAATGTTTACTTCTTTTGGAAGTACGTTATATATTTTTTCTCTGATTTAACGTTTGAGAAACAGTCATAAAATGAAAGACAGTCTGTTGTTCCACAGCAGTAAAGCTCTCAACACGACTCAAGAGCTAGCTGAAAAGTAGCCTTCCTGTCCTCCAGTCTAGCGGCGGAAGACTTTTACGTGTAACACCATAAACACACAAACTTTGAGAATAGATTTTTTTTATTTTTATTTTTACAAATAACTTATTACAACGACGGTCTTACCAGCTAAAAAAAAAAACCTTGGATGTCCAAATATTTCTTTCTATTTAGCAAAACATGAATAACCTGTCTCTTCATACCGTGGTGCAGATAACTAATTTCTCTCTTGGATTGGGGGGGGGTGTTTATGTACTTGAGACAACCATTTTATAATTTCAAATTGGTTACACAAGAGCAAGGTTTATTTTATAGAAATGGCACTTCACAAAATTGATAACCAATACATATTCAATAGATCTAAGAGGAATTAACCACGGTTAAGGTAAAGTATTGCCAAGTAAACTTTAGAAACATCCTTTTTAGGTCACAACAGACTTAAGAGGGTGAGTAAGGGATGTCCGATATTAGCTTTTTGCCGATATCCAAAATGCCGATATTGTCCAAACACGTAATTACCGATATATCAACCGATACTGATACATGCAGCCATTTCTCCCCCCAAACTATTTTTAGGTCACATCACATACTTACTGTCATGGAATTAGCACATGATCTACTTTTACTGCGATGCCAGACTAAAGGCATTCCACAAAGTAGCACTGTTCGTACAAAATCAATTTTTTTTTTAAAGTGATTCCAGCATATCTGGCATTGCATTCTTGGGGTTTCATTATCGGAGAAAAAAAAAAAACTGATAACGATTCTTACCAATATTACATAATTATGCTAATATCAGTCAGCCGACGTTATCGGACATCTCTGATAACTGTGCTCATTTTGACCCTAAATCATTATTTCTTTGTTTCCTTTTACGCTGATGACTTTTTAAAATGTCTTTGTAACAACCATAAAGTGTAAGAATTTTGACCTTAACTTGTGTTATGGATCTGCGTAACACACCAGTTGTCTCGGGAGATACAATTCCTCTTTGCAATAGGGTGTCCTTTTTTCCTCCCAAAACGTCACATCCTGCATTCCAGTTGTCATAACCCAGCAATGTGTTTTGCCCATTTTTTTTTTTTTTGACCCATTCTTTACTCTCCAAACAGCCACAAAACAGTGAACAGATTTGGTGTCCTTGTAGAAAAGCATAGAAAAAAAAAAAATTACTACAAAATAATAAACTCCCCGCTTCATCTGCAAGTCCTTTGCAGAAACCATAGCCATGACAAAAGCAGGAAAAAAAAAAAACTGAGCCGGCAGGTGTTTTTATAATGAATGTTTTGTTCCTCTCCTTCTGTAAAGCCTCAGCTCGTACAAATATCACATTAAAAGCTTCCAATGGGAGCATGGCACTCATTTTTGTTTAAAAGAGGGAGAGAGAGAGAAAAAAAAAAATCACAAACAGTTATTAAAGTCTATAAAGGTATACTTACAAGAAATACAAGTGATTCATAGTGTGAAGAGGAAGACAACTCTTAATGCACATTCGAAAATATGTACAGTAAAAAAGCTCATGGGGAGTTTCTGCCTCTGTACACAGACATGCAACCTATCACAAGTGACAAGATGGGGTAGGGGGGGAGGGGCAGAAGACCGGGAAAGCAGGTTCCTGCTTTGACAAATGTAAAATTCCAGGCGTAGTCTGTTAGTTTTTTTTTTCTCAACATTAGGTGTTAAGCATAGGCTTAACAAGAATCAGAAATCCCACACCTACACCACCACAAAAGAAGGAAGGAAAAAAAAAAAAAAAAAAACACAGAGGAACCCGCGTGTGTTTGTGTACCGTCACAATGCTGGGCCACCCTTGTAATACTGTAAGTGGAAGCAGTGAGGTAACGCTGGTCTAGAGTGTCACCTGTGGAGCAGTTTTTTTTATTTAACAAAAAAAAAAAAAAAAAAGGCAGACCCCCACCACGCAATCTCAGTCCTTCTGGTGAGGTATTATTTGACTTTGGCAGCCTTCAGGAGGAGGCACAAGTTGTAAACACTGTCCAGTAAAACCTACAGTGGACAGCATACTAAGGAGAAAACTCAAGAGGAAACAAAAGGGGCGGGGGGGAAAAAAAAAAAAAAAAAATTAACGCACAATGACTGCACCAAAGCATGGCCTTGAGAGTTGGGGTGAACAGAGGATAAAGAGGGGCAAGCGGGGCACGAAAAGGGCCTGTTTTTTTGGCTCAGAAGTGCCGCGGGAACTCGCACTCTTCACAGCGGTTGAGGGCTGGGTGGTTGAGGAAGGTGCAGGCTGTGCAGCTCCATTGCGTACCGTCCTCCTCCTCCTGGTCTGCAACAGCGGGCTTCAACTGCTTTCCGCCCGAGTCTGGCGTGAAGCGTGAGGAGAACGAGGACAAGGGGGGGGGAAAAATAAGTTAAAAAAAGTTGAGGAGATTAATAGATAGGTGAAGGAAAAATATATGAGAGTACAAAAACGTTTACAACTTCAGTCATGCTAGGGGACTATATGCCGTATTTTCCGCACTACAAGTCGCTCCGGATTATACAGTAAGTATGTATGAAGAAGAAAAACACATATACTCTGGAGCGACCTATATAAGTTACACCAGCCAGCTAGAGCGCCCTCTAGCGGCTTTCAGTCTGAAAATACCAAACGTAAATTTTCAGTGGTACAGGAGTAGCAGTTACTGGTACACAAGCCTAGAGTGCCCTCTAGTGTCTGTCAGCATGAAAATAACGAACATGTAAATGTTCAGTGGTACAGTAGCAGCAGATGCTGGTACAACAGCCATCTAGAGTGCCCTCTAGTGGCCGTCAGTGTGAAAATAACAAACAGGTGCAACTTGTACTCGTATGTTATATAAATATATAATTTCACATAAGTCACAAAACCGAGCCAAATGATGACAAAAAAGTGTGACCTAAAGTCCCGAAAATATGGTATTGAATTCCATATAAATTGGTAATAAATACAAATATTACAATACTTACCAACAAACAAAGTACCTTTGGGTTTGGGGGGAACAGGACCAAGGAATCCAATGTTGTCATATAGGGGTGCCCCTGGGGGGCATTTTTTTTATTAAAAAAAAAAAAAAAAAAAAAAGGCAGACCCCCACCACGCAATCTCAGTCCTTCTGGTGAGGTATTATTTGACTTTGGCAGCCTTCAGGAGGAGGCACAAGTTGTAAACACTGTCCAGTAAAACCTACAGTGGACAGCATACTAAGGAGAAAACTCAAGAGGAAACAAAAGGGGCGGGGGGGAAAAAAAAAAAAAAAAAATTAACGCACAATGACTGCACCAAAGCATGGCCTTGAGAGTTGGGGTGAACAGAGGATAAAGAGGGGCAAGCGGGGCACGAAAAGGGCCTGTTTTTTTGGCTCAGAAGTGCCGCGGGAACTCGCACTCTTCACAGCGGTTGAGGGCTGGGTGGTTGAGGAAGGTGCAGGCTGTGCAGCTCCATTGCGTACCGTCCTCCTCCTCCTGGTCTGCAACAGCGGGCTTCAACTGCTTTCCGCCCGAGTCTGGCGTGAAGCGTGAGGAGAACGAGGACAAGGGGGGGGGAAAAATAAGTTAAAAAAAGTTGAGGAGATTAATAGATAGGTGAAGGAAAAATATATGAGAGTACAAAAACGTTTACAACTTCAGTCATGCTAGGGGACTATATGCCGTATTTTCCGCACTACAAGTCGCTCCGGATTATACAGTAAGTATGTATGAAGAAGAAAAACACATATACTCTGGAGCGACCTATATAAGTTACACCAGCCAGCTAGAGCGCCCTCTAGCGGCTTTCAGTCTGAAAATACCAAATGTAAATTTTCAGTGGTACAGGATTAGCAGTTACTGATACACAAGCCTAGAGTGCCCTCTAGTGTCTGTCAGCATGAAAATAACGAACATGTAAATGTTCAGTGGTACAGTAGCAGCAGATGCTGGTACAACAGCCAGCTAGAGTGCCCTCTAGTGGCCGTCAGTGTGAAAATAACAAACAGGTGCAACTTATACTCGTATATTATATAAATATTATAATTTCACATAAGTCACAAAACCGAGCCAAATGATGACAAAAAAGTGTGACCTATAGTCCCGAAAATATGGTATTGAATTCCATATAAATTGGTAATAAATACAAATATTACAATACTTACCAACAAACAAAGTACCTTTGGGTTTGGGGGGAACAGGACCAAGGAATCCAATGTTGTCATAGAAATTATGAATTGCACTAGGATTAAAGCGAGGTCCTGCAATAATAATAATAATAATAATTAAAAAAAGAAAACATAAATGTGAGAGTTCAGGGGAAATTATCAAAGCTTTAGAGACTGCAATGATAAATGTTTGTTATGTTGACTTGATTTTCCATCTAATGTGCAATGGTACCGACGGTAGTTTCTCCTGGCCACTGTCGCCCACTGTGCATTCAGACTGTATAAGTAGCACCACCTCATGGATTAAACAATAATATGGTCAACATGGCATGGATGGATGGGTGGACGGATGGAGGGACAGATGATAGATGGTAGAAGGATGGATGGACAGAGGGACAGGATGGATGGATAGATAGATGGATGAATGGATGGATGATAGAAGTATGGATGGATAGATAGATAAATGATAGATAGATAGATAGATGATGGATGGATAGACGGATAGAGGGATGGATGATAGATGGTAGAAGGATGGATGATGAATGAACAGAGGGATGGATGAATAGATAGATGGATGAATGGATGGATGATAGATGGATGGATGATGAATGGACAGAGAGATGGATGAATAGATAGATGGATGGACAGAGGGACGATGATGGATAGATGGATGGATGATAAAACGATGGACGGATGGATGATGGATGGACAGAGGGACGGATGATGGATGGATGATAGATGGATGGATGAATGGATGGACAGAGGGACGGATAAAAGGATGGATGATGGATGGACAGATGGATAGATGGATGAATGGATGGATGATAGAATTATGGATGGATAGATAGATAGATGGCTAGACGGATGGATGGATGAGAGATGGTAGAAGGATGGATGATGAATGGACAGAGGAGGGATGAATAGATAGATGGATGGACAGAGGGACGATGATGGATGGATGATAGATGGATGGATGAATGGATGGACAGAGGGACGGATAAAAGGATGGATGATGGATGGACAGATGGATAGATGGATGAATGGATGGATGATAGAAGTATGGATGGATAGATAGATGATGGATGGATGGATGATAGATGGATGGACGGATAGAGGGATGGATGATGAATGGACAGAGGGATGGATGATAGAAGGATGGATGGATGGATAGATAGATAGATGGATGGATGGATGAATAGATAAAAGGATGGATGGATGGATGATAGAAGGATGGATAGATGGATCAATATCTCCATAATACAGTATGTACAACCATTCGATCTTAGTCATTCAGTCATTCATTCTTTGAACTGCAACATATCAAAGTAACTCCACCTGCTGACTGGACAGTTAGAGACATCTTGTCTTTTCTTATTACGACAGCACAACGCTCCACTTTACTCTTTATAGCCTGTACTGTACTGTACTGTGCTGTGCTGCTGTCAAAACTGTAGATTTCCCCATTGCGGGTTTGAATATAGGACTTAAGTTCATGTTAAGATTATTACATCTGTTTGTATAGCATAGAATTGACATCAACTGAAATACCAATGAAGTGAGACAGACCTACCTCTTGTTTGAAAAAGATCGATTTCTTTAGTCAGGCAATCGATGTCGATCTGCAGTAATCGGTTTTTGCATCGCAACTGCTTCATTTCCTCAATCTGCCAAGCAAGGAGAAAACAAGTGTCAGTACATGAGCCGTAACTAAATGTTAGAAATTCAGAGACCAAAAATGTCTCAACTTTATGCGTTCAAGGTGCGTTCGCACAGCAACGATACAACTACGGCTACGTGTTTCAAGGGATTAAACGAGCGCTAACATGCACGTTTGATGGTGCTGATGAGAGTGCTTTGCACACAAAATACGATCATCATCATCTCAGCTAGCCTTGCCAACTCCAATCAATTGTCAATTCCATTGACAATTTACAGGCTATTTTTGATTCTCGGTTCTTTTTTCGGTTTTTCAAGGGACAGTTGGCAACGCTAATAAAGTCGCACTAATTGTAATAATCACAAAGTTCCAAATATTCCCAGGCGATCGATTTTAATTAATCGCACGCAATACAATTTTGCAAAAGCCTACTTTACATTCAGTTGGTGTAGCGACCCCAGTGTTAGCTGGATTTACTTTTCTTTTCTGTCACGCCGCCCCCTTGGGGACAGAAATGTTTTCACGCCCTCTTCGACCCACACCCCCGCAAATTGAAATATTATTGATAACGTATATTTTTACCTGAGGTGCTGCCACCTAGTGACTGGAGGACTGTTATTATTCAAGCATTACAGTAGTACACTTATGTACAACGTGCCATATTACACACCCCCTCCACCCTCTCCCCCACTATTTGAGGAGTACTGCTTTACAGTATAGTACACTTATGTACAACGTGCCATATTGCACACACCCCCCCACCCCCACTATTTGAGGAGTACTCCTTTACAGTACGTATCTTTGTTGTTGAACTAAACAAACTATAATAAACAAAAAAAAAGGTATAACAGATGAAATGTATCCAAAATCTAAGCGTTAGCTAGTCTGGGCTAAGTGCCGTGCTGAACACAGTTGCCTAAATGCTTGATTCAAAGGAGCTCACAGAAGGAATTTGAGAGGCCGAGTTGGATCTTTCCAGTCGTCTCCTGGTCAGGTCGTTCTCCATCTCGTTCACCTCCTCCTTTAACTTCTCCAGCTTTTTCTTTTTCAGCTCCAGCTCGTGCCACAGCCTGTCCATGCGTGCTTTTTGGTGGACCAACAATGCTTGAAAACGCAGAAGTACACCATCGTCAGCAACTACTAATGTTCTTTTAACGTGCTAAAGACATATAAGGTCATTGGAATTCTAACCCTGTTATACATCTCCAAAAAACAAATACAAATCAAGAAAAGAACAATTAAGAATTTAGCTAAAAAGAAATTCACGCCACACGCCGATATATGATCAGATCCATTGTATCATCAATAATTATGATGATAGAATGTATTATCATTTATATAATTAATATATATGTATATATATAATTTATTTATATAAATTATTGATAAAAAATTGATTAAAAAATATTATTATTTTAATTATTTTTATATTATTTAATTTTTAAAAATTTATTTTAAAAAAATGTATTTATAAAATGTATATAATTTATATAATTAATATATGTATATATTAATATATGTATTATAATGTATTATTAATTAAATAATCGTTAATCAATCATCAACTATGGTTAAAGTGCTGCTTTGAAGTCAAAGTAAAGTAAGACTAAAAAAAAAAAGAAAAGGGATTAGAAGTTTTCTTGCTCACAAAGCCCTGTGTGATTTTAATTTTACACTAATTCTAATTTATTTTTATATAATTATAAATAAATTATAATTATAAACTTTGTATACAAATATAAATCATGATTACCTAATATATTGAGCATATTTTAATAATTACAAAAATAATAATAGGTGTACTTAATTATTATTATTACGTGAAAGTATTTCAGGGTTTTACCACACGGGGGAAGTGTAACCAAGGCTGAATCACTGCCACAACCACTCGCAGACAAAAGCTCAGTTGACGCCACTTGTAGTATATCATTTAACACGTGGTGTTACTTTGTTGACAAAAATATTTTTTTGTAAATAAGATAAGAAAACAAGGAATAGAAAAGAGAAAACTTCACCCTGTTTTTTTTTTTTTAGCAATTTCTAAGTCTCTTGAAATCTAAAAAAACCACCAATATACAACGATGTTAGCTATTTTTACGAGATGACAACAGGCAGCTAACGGCTAACGGTCGAGGTAAAATGTCGGTCTATTAGGAATCAATAAGAAAAAAATAAGCCTTTTTCTTAACGTTTCCTGATGCTAGTCATGTGTTTTAGGCGGTCTCATTTATACCACGTTAGGTTCAAAGAACAACAGGCAACTCTGGGCTTGATCACCCTGTAGCTGGCCACCTTTGACGAGGGTGTCTAGTGTTCAAAGGCCGAAACACCCGATGATTCGAAGGTACTCTACTGATGATGTGTCCCAAAATGTACACCCTTCTCATGGCTGAGATATATAACTCCCACGCCACTCTCAAGATCAAGGGCAACCTCATGGCGGACGGTTTACCATCACGTCCAAATTGGGTTTTTTTTCTTTTAAGAATCTGAAATCAAGTTTGAAATGCCTGCGTCGTCGGTTTACCATCACGTCCAAATTGGGTTTTGTTTTTTTTAAGAATCTGAAATCAAGTTTGAACAACACTCACCTTGTGTGTATGCCGCATCCTCAGAGCTTATGCTGAGTCTGCGTGGCTCACTTGACTTGTCCCTGTGCGGGGAGAGCGGATCTGAGAAATGGAGTGGATCTGGCTCCACAAAATGGTGATCCGCTGGCAGACTGAGGAGGTTGTTGGGCTCAAACGTAGGAGACACTACTCCAGGAGAGACCGCCGGGGGCTTATTTGGAGACACAGTGATTTTAAAAGTGTATTTGGTATTGGGCTGAGTCACTACCACTCGAGGGGACGAAGCCGTGCTTCCCCCTCCTACGGACGCACGAGACTTTGGTGGATGATGATGGATGTAGGCAGGGCCCATGCTCACTTGGCCACCAATGTTTCTGGACCCAGAAGGCCCTTGCAAGGGAGGGTTGGCTGAGATGTAGACTGTAGGATGGTTCCTGCCCCCACTGTAGTCACTAGAGGCATTGGCAGAAATGTAAAACTTGGGTTGAGAGCGGGGGCCACTCGAGGCCACGATGGCATCTTCAGCAGGTGTAGTAGCAGCATTAGGCGGGCTAGCGGAGATGTAAACAGTTGGCTGGCCTGGGCACCCAATTGACAGTGGGGTAGTGGGGACGGTAGCCACGCTGGCCGAGGAAGAAGCTGAGGACGGACAGGAAGAGGATGTGGAGGAACGAGGCCCACTGCTTGTTCGCAGCACAGCCGTTGTTGAGGAATTACTTCTCTGGGGAGATTCAAGTTTGATCTCGATCTGATTCTTTCGTGGGCCCGTGGAAATGTTCTGGATGTTGTACTGACTGATGGTAGACGAGGGCATGAGAGAAGAGGTGGAACATGAGGACGAGCACGAAGCGGCAGCCGGCGTCAAGGCCTGACCCCCAGGAGGCATAACCGAGGGGGGTTGGGGATTTGTAGGAGAGCTGATGGGCATGTAGACTTGGGAGGTCTGATGGCCCTGGGTCTGGTGCTGTGAGGTATGTAAAGGATAGGCATGCTGAGGGCCAGACCAGGAACTGGATAGAGAGGAAGGGTGGGAGAACAGGTAGGTCTGCTGCTGGGGCTGGGATGTGGGGCTGTACTGAGTTCTGCTTCCCTGCTGCTGGTTTAGCCGAGTGGCACCAGGCTGGCTAACGTAGGGCTTGATATAGATGGAGTTACCCTGTGGACTGCCGAGACCCGACTGGGGCCTACCATGTATGTGCAAAGAGGTGGGGGCGTTTCGAACTGTTTGTATATTTGGGGCAAGCGTAACTGTAAAGGGGTTGTAGCGAGGTGTCTGATTGGCACTCATAGTAGCTCCTTTGACGCCGGGATGTCCAAGATGCTGCGACGGGTGTGGTTTGCGCGTAGGTTCGATCACACCGAATACATTAAGGCTCGAGGGCACCTGAACTGGGGCTGATTGGGGCTCTTGCTAAAAAAAGTCACCGCTATTTGCCCGCTGGCCTCTCTGGAGGGGCCCATCACTCTGGCTGTGAGCCAACGTCCGGCTGCCATTTATTCTCAGGCTGTCCCGAACAGGGGCAACAGGCACATTCTGAGACTGCAGGCCCAAGTTCAGCTGGGTCATGTGATTGCGAAGCCTGGTGAAACTGGGGTCGTCAGAAAAGCTCAAGTTTTCTTCCTCGCTGTACAGGTAACCAGGACTGATCTGGGACAAATATTCACAGCAGGCGTCTAAGTTGTTATTGTTCTAAAGGAAAGAGAAAAGAGAAAAAAAAAAATGTATATATGTGTTTCTTTCAGATTAAAAGCAAAAAATTATGTCTGCCTTTCTCCTGCAATGCACGCATTCCCCCAACAGATGGCATTTTAACCTTTACTGACTGACTTTTCCATGTCATTTATTTGAGTTCAATCAAATGCTCCATGGATCTGCTCCTAAACCGACCTCAAATTTTAGGACCCCTTGTGGCCGGCGAGTCAAAAAGTTTGCCCGCGCTAGATGGCACTGACGATGTTGATGTCGTTAGGCACTACCTACAGTTACTGAGAATGTGTAAGAATTCCATAACCAAACTCGCACCAAACTTTGATTTACTGGCAAAAACAAAAAAAAAAAAAAAAATCAACAACTCTCTTCACACTACATTTAAATGTAACTAGCTTTAATAAAAGTTTTGGTGTTTCAATTGTCGTTAATTTCCTTCATTCTTATACGGACATGCTTCCCTGTCAAATTTTAAACCTCTTTGAGACACAGAGTTCGCCCATCTCTGCCATATGGTACGGAGTAAATGTAAACATTTATTTACCACCATTCTTGATGGCCAAACAGACAAAGTTACACTACAGGTTTATCTATTGCTATCTATATGCAAATTTCACATTACAGTGATCCCTCTCCTATCGCGGGTAGCTGCGTTCCTCGACCCACCGCATAAAGGGAAAATCCGCAAAGTAGGGGCGAGATAGTTATTCGTTTATTTACGTATATATTTGCCCTTTACGAACCTTCCCCGCGCCATTATCAACCCCCGTAGCGCAGGTTAGCATTCAGCTGCAAGAGGGAGAGCTCGGGAGTGGCGCAGGTGAGCGCAATCGGAGTAATCCAGCCTCTCCTTATATTAGTAGGAGCCGGGACCAAGGAGAGAGGAGGGTGAACAGAGGAGCCAAGGCGGACGGACCACATACGAAAGCCGGGCACAGCGCAGGAGCGCACAAGACTTTCACAACTTTCACCAAACACAAGAGCACAAACTTTACAGCAACGTCCTGTTTTTTATACAAGTTTTTTGCTATATTTTTACTGTTTAATTTTATTACGTTATTACGTTGCCTAGCATGTAGGCCAGATGAACTGAAACGAAACCTGCCACCATATGCACTAAAACAAAGGGCTTTAAAGGTCTCCAACCTTTTTGAAACTGAGATCTACTTCAAGGGTACTGAAACAAAGAGATACCTATTTGATATCCACTTCCTGAATGATGTAGTAATAATAGGACCTACTCCATGGGCACCTTTGCTAGGGCTACCTGGTGCCCCCCCCCCCGAGCTGGTTTCTGAAAATCCCAAAAGATGTGTGCATTGTTTGCTTCTTTTATTCCACACAGCTGCCCACATAAATGTTGTTTTTTTTCACTTTCACAGATAGTATTTCATTCCCTCTCCTACTTAGAAAGCTGTATCTACCATTTATCTTAAGGATGTGCGTCTTAAACTTTAAGATTTCTTTGAATTTAGCATGACTGCACGTGCTGGTCATTAAATCAAGGACACCATTGTCATTAAAACAAACAGCATTCATGTCGGCAGCTATGTGGAATATGCACAAGATGCACATATCTAACACACACATATATATATATATATCTACATATATATACACATACATATATACACATACATATATACACATACATATATACATACATATATACACATACATATATATACACATATATATATGAAATGAATCAATTAGTTCTTTTTGTTATATATATATACACAGTATATCTCGGGTCACAAGGTATCACTGTTGTTGGAAATATCAAGAAATATCAACAACAAGAAAAAGGAGTCACTCTCTGATATTTGCTCACACAAGCATTTTCACGTGCCTACCTGCAGTACACACTGAGAGACAACACCCTCTGGGACCTCAGGAAACTTTTGGCACAGGTCATGCAAAACCTGAATGTCAATCTGGTGGCTCCCCTGGGCCATTCGTATGTTACCAGGTTGAGACTACTTCTTCCGTTGAACGCTGTGGGCGTCAGTTGGGGCAGGAGGTCGCCTTCATCTTGAAATAGTCTGGAAAAAATAAACAACAGAAAACTAAAATAGTAAAAAAAAAAGTTGTGTTTTCTTTTCAGCCCACAATAGGCCAAAGTAATTTCACTGTAAAGATCAATAGACATTTTTCTGGAGGTTTTCCATTTTGTTACATTTTGCCCTTGCCAGCTAATAACAAAAAATAGGGCCTTACCACATATACATGGTGTATATAAATATATATACGGTATATACATATATATACACGGTATATACATATATATACAGTAATACCTTGAAATACGGGCGTCCCGACATACACGAGTTTTCCAAGATACAATTCCAAGATGCTTTGAGATACAAGTAAAGATTTGAGATACGAGTACGCTTACAGACACCGAGGCTAGGTGGCCGAGCACTCGGAGCAGCCCACGCCACCTCACTCATTCACTTCACGTGTTCGTCGACTTCCATACGCTTCTCCCGCGAGTCTTCCGTATCGTGTACCGTTGTTTACGTACTTTTTTTATATTTATTTTGTGCATTATTCTTCATAATAGTGATGAGTCCTAAGAGAGTGAGTGGTAGGAATGGTGGTGAGAACAGGAAACGCATGATGACCATGGAAATAAATTGTCGATAAATATGAGCGTGATGCCTCCTAAAGAAAGAATACAAATCGAAAAAAGCAAAAAAAATAAAAAATAGAAATACCATATACATATATATCTGTTATATATGTACTATATGTATATGTTATCAATTACTTGAATGGGTGAGCGAATACTTTTGGCAATATAATGTATATACCAGGGGTTTGTACTGGCAATGCAAATCTGGAAATACGATATGTATCACAATACAGGGGGAAAAGGAACGATATATTGCAATATACTGCACTACTATTGGCACATTGATAAATTGAGTTTTTAAGCGCTGTCAGTGTAACAGGTGACGGTTGGAAGTGGTGTGGGGTGCAGGGGTGGGTGATGTGGAGGGTAGAGAGGTGGGTGCTCTACAACATTGACCACCAAGGATGGGCATGTGGCTGTCTGACTCAGTGAGAATAGCCCAGAATATG